GGTCAAAACAGAAGAAGCTGATGCAATCAGAGTAGGTTTCATCAGTTTGTTATGCAGCATGCTTGCCTCATAATGACTCTGCGCTCTCTTCAATGAGCACGCCAGCAGCATCACGGGCACAGAGCTGGATTAAGAAAACTTTTAATGAATTCAGGGGTAAGAGTGTGAATGAATGTACAAATCCCAGGATTGTTTTGGAGCTAATTACACTCTAATTAAAAGCAGTGGTCCATCTCCCAGCCCTCCGGATGCAAACGCAGTCACAAACGTTGCAATGGGATCTAATTAACGCCACTTTTTTATGTTGCACTGCAGTAAAGCTCTCAGCACGAGCTGTTGATGGTTGTTTACAGATGTACACATGAATCAGCTTTTGTATGTATATTTTATGCTGCTTTGTTTCGATTTTAAGCCTGTTTCACTTTTTTTTATCCATTAGTAGTATCAGTGACAGTTTATGATCCAGCCTGCTCTTGGCCATAAATCCATTGCTGCCCTGGCTCAGTTTTCCATCAGTGAAACAGCTGTTGCAGACAAGAAGAGAGAAGGAGGCTGCATCCCCCAAGTGCAGTGCAAATGCTGTCATCAGCTCACAGCAGGACACATCTGTACAGCAGCTGAACACAAATACAAATTGACATGACGGCGCAGCATCAGGGGGTTCAGATTAGATGTATAATGAAACTGTGGATTGTGGAAAATGACCAAGTGAGTTGTTTAATACAGTTACAATCACATTTTGGGGTTAAGAGACCTCCAGCAGACGTGCAAATGAGTAAAATGTGCATATAGTGGAACCACAGACTGTATATAAATCATGGATGTAGCTGCTGTGACGTCGTTCACCGGTGTTGTTTTAGATATAAAGTCAACCTGCGGGAACTCCAGGCCTCGAGGGCCGGAGTCCTGCAGGTTTTAGATGTGTCCTTGATCCAACACAGCTGATTTAAGTGGCTAAATGACCTCCTCAACATGTCTTGAAGTTCTCCAGAGGCCTGGTAATGAACTAATCATTTGATTCAGGTGTGTTGACCCAGGGTGAGATCTAAAACCTGCAGGACACCGGCGCTCGAGGCCTTGAGTTGGTCACCCCTGCTGTAGAGGAACAACTACTGAACTATGCAAAGACTGAATGCTGATTGGTATAAAAGATGGCTTAAACAGGAAAGGGCGAAGAAGTACACCTGAGAAGCACTGCGTTCATTGTTTTCAATCCTCAGACTCACTTTCTTTAAGTTTTATTTCTTTTCGTGGAAAGTATGAAAAGGCCTTAAAATGATATGCATTTACTGCAATAAATTAATTAACAGGGATGTCTACAGGGGTTTTGTATAGACTGTATATAAAAGATGGCTATAACATATTTTTTTTTAAAAGAAATGCCTTGAACCTGCATTCTCTCTAATAGCCAGGAGGGGGTGACATATAGTGACTTCTATTACAAAAAGAATTCCATCTGCAAAGACATCTTTAGTAAATATTTTACACACTTAATGCATTTTGAAAAATTGCAACGAATTTCTGGATTTCACGGATCCAAACTTACTGTGTAACCTATATACACGCCAAACATGTTGCCTTTTTTAAAAAAATTCATCCTCAAAAAATGCACTATGATAAAAAACAGGAAGTTGACAGCGATCACGAGCTGGTCCTCATGTTCAGAGAAATGGAAGAAACAGAAATTCTAGGTTCATCCAATTCTCACCAGAAGGCATGCGTAGAGACAAATTTCATGGTTTGATCCAAGGAAGGTGTAGCTGTAAAGCTGTATCACGACTACTTTTTGCACCAAATGTGTCAAGTGAAATTACGCGGTCAGTATGAACGGCTGCGTTATGAATAGGTGAGTCCCAAAAATATTTTAAACGTTTGAAATATTTGCATTTTACACCTCAGGTATGTAAAGGCCTTTACGCTCCAAATGAAAAGCAAAGCAGATTATTTTTTAGAGCTACAATGTAAAATGTGGCTCTCACTCTTTTTCTAAGAAAAGTAATCTATAATTGATGCAGGAGGCCAGGAAGCTGCTGCTGGCCTTGTATCACTCCACAGTGGAGACTCTCCTACTGCCTGGATGTTTGGTACGCAGGGGCCACAATGAGAACAGGAAGGCTGCGCAGAGGGTAATTAACACTGGCCAAAAAATAACTGGCTGCCCTCTGTGACCCCTGGAGGCCATCGCCAGATCCTCCTGTCTGAGGAGAACAAGGGCCATCACAGGTGACCCCCACCCACCACCCGTTTGACTCGCTGCCCACTGGTAGCGTCTCGGGTCAATCAGGTCCCACACCTCCAGACCATCAACCCTCAGGCCACTCACACATGGACTCTATTCTCAGACCAAGTCCTCAGCACAACTTCCAAGCACGTTTCAAGTTGTTCTCTAATGTGTGCCTTTCTCTTAAGCGCCATTTGTAGAGGAAACAGTTGTAGATGTGTTGTTTAAATCCGCTGAGCACCAAAAAAGTAATGCAACACATCTTCTCTACAGCATCCTTATTGGTTTTCTTTAGGAAATGACAACATCACAGAAAGTGAAAAAATAACTGCAGACCTGAGTATTACCACCATCTGAGAATTATGCAGAATTGTAGGAAGACCACATTTCCCACTGCTCAGTTGCTTCTTGTGCTTCACCCTAAAGGGCAGAATGACATCATCAGGTACATCATCAGGGGTCTTGTGGGATAAGTAGATACGTGTTTTTTTTTGTTTTTGTTTTGTTTTTTATTAATTATCGCACCTAAATGAAGCCAGAAAAGCTTTGAGGGATCTAAGTCCTATGACCTTAATGCCAGTATTACCTTGCAAACATGATGGGATTCACTACCAATGGCTAGCTATATTAATTTTGCATGAGAGCATGATAATCATTTCCTAATTAGCACTGACCACCAAGTAGAGCTGAGCTGAGGGGGAATTGTCATTATTTTTTAGATATTTGTTAATAAATCAAAGAGTTCTTTTAAAAAAATCTATAAAAAGATGCTTTCTAAAATCTCAAACATAAATTCCCTAGGTGACTTTTGAACCCCTTACATTACTTACTTACATTACACTGTTGCACCACAAAGATGTCTGAAGTCTTGCTACATAAAGCATCTTTAACAACATAGAAATATACTATGTAACTTTAAATATATCTGTATATCGACACCATTACCAGTCAGCTGATCCACAGGTGCCTTATTCATCTACTAAGGCTGCTCATGCATGGATCTGCTGCCTGCACCTTCAATTTAAGTTTAAGCAGCTATGATACTCCACAAAAACTTCTGCCATCAGCCAGAAATAAAGATCTGACTCGCTTTCATAGCCCCCCCCCCACCCCTGCGGTTTTTGCCATAGCATTCTTCCATCAGCTGGAGCTAAACCACTGTGACTCAGCAGAAACATAAACATCTCACACGCCGGGAGGGCCGCGTGCAAACAAAGCAGAAAGGAGTCATATTTAATTCATAAGCCAGTGCATTGCAGGAAAGACCAGATTGTCTGATACGCCGAAGCCTGGAAGGTCCTGGCAGCTGACTCTGGAGGTCCAGGAAATGACAGCCAGGGGCAGGACTGCAGCCGCCACGAAGCACACGTCAGACAGGAAGGGGCCCCACTCAAGCTGGTTAATGTCAGTGGATATTTACGGTCGCTGGGTGAGCTTTCTGCATCCTGCATGACACAGCTGCATTTCCCATAGGACAGCTCTATCTTAATGGGCAGCAGAGGCATAATGAAGCACGGGTGGTGGATAAATGGATGCAGCAGAAGTGGCAGCCAAATTTATTTTCGCCCTGGGAATTGGGTCTTTGTAATCTAATGTGGAGGCTGAGCTCTTTGTCTTTTTCTTTGTCCCCCATCACCACAGGTGGTTGATGGGGGACTTGATATCATTAATGCAAACAGGCTGAAATAATGTAGATTTATTTGGAAATGAAACAGGACCACATACATTAAAAATAAATATATATGGAAACACAATGCATTTGGTTTGATAACGCCTTGGTGGCTTTATCAGTTTGTTTGTGTACCTGCCTCCCTATTTTGACCCCGCCTCCTCAACAGGTACTTGTGCTAAAAGGGGCGGGCTAAAGGAAAAAAGAAGTGGGCAGAAAATCTAAAATATGAAGATAAAGCATAGACTGTATATGTAAGATGGACAGCATAATGCCATTTGTCAGCATTATGCTTTGCAACTTGGAAGCACAGAGAGGAAAGTTTTAAATGTCACCATGATGTGGATGTGTCAGCTGTGAGATGGATATGACATGTAATAGAATCAGTCTTCCTAATGGCCACCAGAGGGCGACACTTAAACTTGAAAACAATCATTCTGCTGTTTAGAAGTTTAAAGAGGAAACTGCACTTAAATGCCTTGCTCTCTCAGCTCAGTAAACCCCTTTCCTGATGCTTTTTTGGGGGGGTTTCTGTCGACAATTGTCTGCCCAACGGCTCATTAGCAAGTGAGCATATTTATCTCTGCATTTCAAAATCACATCTGCCTTGTTGTGAATTTCACTTCCACAAAGCTAATTCCCAGGAGTGAGGCCTAATCAGAATCAGTGTGACACCGTTTTCGATCTTTAACCAAGGCCGATTACTTTTTTCTTTTTCTTTCATTAAGATCACAGAAGACCTGGATTTAATAGCTTTGTAATTGTGCAAAAAGTCTGTTTCCACCATTCGTTGCTACAGTGGAAACATCCAAACATGCCCATATTCACACTGCAGTTTATAGGAAACATAACAGAAGGCAGTTGCTAGTGCATGTACGCTGATAGGAGGGGGTGCTACAGCGGGTTACTTTACAGGCCTAATGTTTTGTGTCAGATGAAGCACCGGCAGCCATATTGATCATTTTTCATGCCCTGCCTCATTTCACTAAGAGCCCCAAAATGACTGCTGGTGGCATTTATTATGTCAGTTATGAGACACGCAGAAGAAAAAAAAAGACAGAACGAACTGCAGCTCTGACAGCAACAAACAAACAAACAAACACACACTAATGTGCTGCAACATGCTTTACTTTAATAATTGTGAAAACAGTGATTATTCATGTTGAGCAGGTGAAATGATCAATAATCACACCCTAAACAAATCACCCACCATGCACATTACAAGCCTTTCATTTGCATTTTATCAATAAAATAATCAATATAGCCTGTTTTTTTACCTTCTAGTGGTTGGTAAAAGATTAAGTCACATTTTTTTTCATTTTAATCATAAATTATTTTCAAATCACTTGAAAGATTAAAGAGAAATCCCAAGGAGCATTAACCAATCACGGTTAAGCAGGCTTTGAGCAGGACCCTACAGAGATATCGCCAAAATGCAATATCCAAACAATCGTTAATCTTCTTACGGGAAGATTTATTTAAAAAAAAAAAAAAAAAAAAGACCTTATAGACAAATGGAATGAGCAGGCCACGCTTGGATATCGCCCCAAAACACTCACCATCACTCGGAAACAGTGAGGTTGCAGTGGCTGGGGTTGATTCTCAACCAGTTATATTTTTTTAATGTTCACTGAAAGACGCAAATCCAGTAAGTGAACAACATTTATGGGGGGCGTTTGTTTATGATAGGACAGTAAAGGAGGGAGAAGGCGTGCAAATGGTGTGGGGTCAGATTTGAGCCCGGCCCTCTGCAACAGCCTTATGTTATATGGATCACCTGCTCTGTGAGCACTGAGATATACTGGCATCCAGTCACTAGAGCAATATTTAAAGTGACTCAAGGTAGCTTTGTACTCCTGAGTTTGTCACTCGTAGTTGTAAACAACATTAAACATTTTCTTTCAGGTTTTTCCCAAACACGGAGCAGTGACTATCACACGGCGCCGCTGTTTGTTTCCGTGTTCCCAGAAGTTGGGCCCAGCTTCCTGCTGACATCACAAAGATCGTCTAAAGCAGCAAAGCTATCATCAGGCACCAACGCGCAGTCCGTCATGTGTCTTGACTAAGTTGTTACGAGAATTCGTGACACTAATGGCCTAATCTGACACAGTGTTTTTCATCATTACGTGATACAGTACGATGCGTTCGTATGGTAACCACTAAATGTGGATGACGTATAAAACTTCCTGAGATAATCACGAGGAAAGCACTCAGGTGTTTCTTCTGATATGGCTCGCACGCCGCTGCCGTTTATTTTTTATTTTCTGTAAAAAAGTTAGTGTAGTGTCTTTAAACAACACCTCAACAATTGTGATTGTGCCAACATGCCACATGTTTACGTGCATCTTCAATTTGCACATAAAAACAGTGTGTGGAAATGCTGGCAATTTGTAGAAAATCATTTTACATTTGTTCGAGGTGGAAAAATTCAAGCATCAAAACAACAACAAAAAGAAATTATGAAGTGTAACGGGAAAATGTAACAGTTCTGAAGCTTTCTTCTGCACTGCCTCTCGCTTACCTATTCAGCAAACCAAAGTCTCATCATTCAAAGTCATGTGAAGCTGCTTTAATAGCAGCTGACTGAGAAGTGAGTTAATCCTAAACTGGTTATCTGTTCATTATAAACAGCAGCTAATAAATCACATATTCTTCTGGAATTCATTAATATCTGTGGCTTCATTTGTTTTCTTCTCAGTTGCTCCAATTAACACTTTTAGAGCTCAAGATCCACCATTGCTGTCTGTTTTTATGCTATTATTATTATTATTATTGCAAAACACCACCAACCCCCTTTACACCACTGATGTTAAGCAATGACACAAGAATCGGATGTTTTCTTTGGGGGTGCTGAGGGAGATGGAGGGACGTGTTTGGGCTGGTTAACTGTTCTGATGTTTGAGTACGAGGTACTGTATTGGTACCCAGAAGACGCCGAGCTAGATGGGTACCCAGAAGACGCCGAGCTAGATGGGTACCCAGAAGACGCCGAGCTAGATGGGTACCCAGAAGACGCCGAGCTAGATGGGTACCCAGAAGACGCCGAGCTAGATGGGTACCCAGAAGACGCCGAGCTAGATGGGTACCCAGAAGACGCCGAGCTAGATGGGTACCCAGAAAACACAGAGCTGGATTGGTGGGGCGAAGAGGTTGTGTTAGGTGAGTAAAAAGAAGCGGAGGTACTGGCTTTATATCCAGAGGAGATCATGCTAGGTTGGTAAGCCGATATGGTAGCTGGCTTTGGTGCTGCCACTGGCTTTGGTGCTGCCACTGGCTTTGGTGCTGATGCACCACCACTGTACATCAACGTACTAACTAGTGGGTGTGTGGTCTTGTACTTTATCAGGTACTCGGGGTAGATCTGGTGCTTCTCAAACACCACATATATGGAGGGGTTCAATACATCGTCAACACAGCTGTCATAGAAGTTTATGTCCCCTCCGTCCTTCGAAGGAGGTCGGGGATAATCGGAGGACCCTTTGGTGAAGTCTCCCACCAGCACCCGTGAGATGAACATGTCTCTGCCGTCAGTGTCACCGGTGTAGTTGTGGGAGTATTTGGCATCACGGGCAAAGTAACTACCTGTGTTTAGACATCAAAAGAGACCATTGTGATTATCAGGCAAAAACACAAGCATCGTTCCTCACAACCACAGCTGACAAAAATGTCTGTTTGGTGAGTTTGGAGCTTCTGTTTTTTTAAAATGTATGGTTTATGAAAACATGCTTTTTTTTATCACTAACTGTTTCAGCTTGAACATTTCTTCCAATCACCTTTGCCAAAAGCCGTTCCATTAAGTCCGCAGATTCTCCAGTCAAAGTTGTGGTGGCAGATGGTGTCAACAAATTTGGAGTGAGTGCCATGAAAAAGCTTTTTCTCAGTCACATTTCCCCCTTTGTTTTTGGTCTTCATCTGATTCTTTTGCCTTGAAATAGAAGACATACAAATATCTTACGTCAGTCTGGTTTGTCTGTATGTCGTGAAAGTGTGCACGCTGACCCTGGACTGTGTACACAAACATTAACACAGCCTCTGGCTCTGAGGAGTGACACCAGTGCAGGAAGCTTAAATCTGTATTCTTTCAAATCACCAGCAGGGGGCAGAAAATGGATAAAAGAAGTCAGAGTTTACTGAAGTCTGTGGACCGCAGAAGACAATACGTACCATTGAAAGACTTCCCAAAGAGCTTTGTTCTGAATCCTCTCAATTTTGACAATATCAAAGCCTTTCATGGTTTTACAGAAATGAGTTTCCACCGTCTTAAATTCATCTGAAGTGCGCTGGACGGAGATTCGCTGTAAGAAAACAAAAAAAATATTGCAATCTTTCGACACAAGCATTTCCCCTCTCCATTTAGTTAGACATGAAGCTAAAGAATTCATACTGAGTACAAATACAAATTCTATAATGTTATTTTTAAACAAGGCCAGCAACAGTGTTAAAAAAGGCATTTTAGTCCTAAGAACAACACAGAAATGGAAACTCTGAATTCAACGATAGGAAATATATTTCTAAGCTTAGCTTTTTTTTGTCTTTTTGTTTTTTACTTTTTTCCCCCAAATATGTTCATAGAAAAAAATTATTTGGGAAAATCTTTTGCTTACTGTAGAAATTCCACTTGAAGTGTCATCTGCACAGGAAGCAATGTGGGAACCAGTGACTGAATAAAGTAAATGGTTTTTATCTTAAATCAACAATACAATACAAGACCCGGTGAATACAGCCGGGTCCCAAGTTAAACTCTCCAAATCTCTGAAACAGCCAATGAGAACGTAAATGAGAAGGAAGGATAATGTTTACTGATATATGACAGGGTGGTAAATACATTAGAGGGTGACCAGTTTCAGAATACATAGAGAGCTCAGTATTCAGGAACTGTACCGAGGAAAGTTCTTAGACAGTGAAAGCCCACATGGAGAGGACTACAGTAATTAATGGCAAATGGCCTGTATTTGTATAGTGCTTTACTTAGTCCCTATGGACCCCAAAGCGCTTCACACACACATTCACACACTGACAAGCTACATTGTAGCCACAGCTGCCCTGGGGCGCACTGACAGAGGCGAGGCTGCCGGACACTGGCGCCACCGGGCCCTCTGACCACCACCAGTAGGCAACGGGTGAAGTGTCTCACCTAAAGACACAACGACCGAGACTGTCGGAGCCGGGGCTCGAACCGGCAACCTTCAAACCGACGAACTACCAACTCTTGAGCCACGATCGCCCAATAAAGTCTGTGAGAATGTAAACTCCCAGGGTTTAATGGATAACTGGAACTTCCAGTATTCAGGATGGTGTAACGTAAGAACCCACATTGTAAAATACTATGAGGCCAGAATCAAGTTTCTATCTGAGGAAGGATGACAGATCAGATATGATCTTAAAAATACGTTTTTAAGATAAAAGCTTGTCTGTTTTTATTTTATGTCGTTCGGTTGTCTTATTTAATCCCTTTTCTCTCTTTTTTTTTTTGTTATTTTGTATGCGTGTTAAATTGTTTAATATAGTGTTGTATTTTTAAAAAAAATGATTGCGTTCACCTTTTACTAGAAAATTACACAGCATAACATTGAGTTGTACATCTACATTACTATGTTTGGAATATGTTAACACACACACACACACCTCACACACACCACACACAGCACACATCCCCACACACACACACACACACATGGCACACACAACACACACCCACACACACACACACACACACACACACACACACACACACACACACACACACACACACATATTTATTTTTTGTATTATTTTTATTTTTTTAAATGTCTAAACTTGAGTGTGAGCTCAAACAGCAGAGACATAAAAGTAATATTTTATGGTTTCACAATACCGAATATCCTGTTTCGGGGATCTGTGTCTTGTCCCAGTTGTCTGGTATTGGAGCAGATGCTTTAACCACGGGCCGTCTGCAGAGACAGAGGGTTAGGATGACTTTAAATACACAAGGTTTGGGTGTAATACATCTGAAAACATAAGTAACACAAATGCCATTAAAAGTTTCTTCGATATACAGACACCTTCACTTTTTACATATGTTTTAAAATTTCATTTTAAATCAACAAAACATTTTTCCCATCACATGCCATAATGGCAAGAGCTCATGTTTGTCATTTTTAGGGGTGTTTTTGTTTGTTTTTCAATTTTTTATAATTGTTACATAAAAAAGAACAAATAGGACCCACTGCTGAGATGATCTGGATACGGTTAAGAAAGACACACACCTGAGCATGTAATAACCCCCACAGTTCATACTAATATCAGAAAAAACAAACAAACAAACAAACAAACAAACAAACAAACAAACAAACTATGAAATCTTAGGAACTCTTTCTTAACATCCAGGGCGACAGGCCTCACCAGGTCTAGATCAGGGAACGGGTCTAGAATCATATCTCTGTGTCACTGTTTTATCAATTATGTCTTTATGGTAGAAAGAAGCTTGAAAGAAGCCACTTTGAGTAAAGAGCACCAGATAGCTCCCTCGGCACACAGCTCTCACAACACGACGTGATGTCACGGTGTTGGCAGCATCATGCTCTGTGCTGCAGAGACGGGCAGGGCTGAGTTAGGTCAAAATAAAGGTTCACATTTCTGCACAGCAATGAGCTGCATCATAGGCGTTGCTGCTGGGTACAGAAAGTCTGTCCTTCAGTGGTCCAGACAAAGTCCAGAGTTAAACTCCAATACAGTATAATGTGCATCAACAGACCTGAAACAACCAAGTCTGACAGGACCTGCCATGAAGACCAGAATAAACCAAACAAATCCAAGAGTGTAGAAGCCAGACTCACAGCTGCACTACTACAAAATCGGTTTGGGATTTTTTAAATGAAATTTGTGGAAATTCAAAAAAAAAAAAAAAAAAAAAAAGCAACTTACGTTTAGCAAGCTCTGACTGGAGCATTTTTAATGTCTAGTGCTTGCCTGTTTTTTGACATTCTTGCTACTGAATGGACAAACATGGTGAATTTGCTTCACTCTAATCTTAAGGCCCTGGCAACACTAGTATGTTGGCACGTATGGTAAACCAAACCCAAACAAGCACCGTCTTCATGCGGCCTTCCCTCAGCTGGAAGCTCGAAGGCCAAAGCTGGAACATCAAATTCTCCCGAATTCTTCCTCTAGGTCGCCTGCAGTGACTTTGGGATTGTTGACTTTTGCTTAAAACTAGGTGAAAGCGCACTCTCTCTCTCTCTCTCTCTTTGGATACAGGAAACACACACGCACACATACACATGTACTCAGACACAGATATACATACACACCTCGCCCTCCAAACGCCTTCGACGCTTACACCTGATGCGGGCAGGCAGGTCTCTGTCCAGCGCCAGGTTTCAGCTGCAGGACCAGATGACTGTTGTCTACATTGGCTCTCTCCATTACCCCATACCCCCCCCCATCCCTGTCGCAAGTCACGTGTTTTTTATGTTGTAAGTTGTGAGGATTCATGTGCTTCATTGTGCTGAGGGTTTTTTTTCTTTCTGTTCTCAAACTGCTCTCCCATCTGGGTCGAGTTCTTCTTCTTTTCCTCCTCTTCCCTCATGTATTGCATCATCTATCTCTCTGTATGTACAATCAGAAGGCGTCCTGTTTCACTGCATGTACGTGTAACATTGCTAATGACAATTAAACGTCTCAATCAAGTGTTGAACAGGAATCATGTTAGATTCTGGCAGACACACTGGTCTCTACAGACTGGTTGGTAACAAGTTAACAAGTCTATCAGACTCATTTAAAACACTACATGTAAACCAAAGTGAAGGTGTCTTAAAACTTTCTTGGGGCTGTTTTTGGGATGACGTACCTGACTTTCTTTGTTAGGACATCTGCAGCAGAGACAAACAGTGGCCGTCTGCACACACACCTTTTGGTGCCATAGCGTTTATTTGTCTGTATCATGTCTGAGGGGGAAGTTTAAAGTTAAATGATAATGAGAAACTCAGTTTTACATTTTAACATGCAGAAATCAGTCAACACAGAGTTTCTATATTCTTTGTTTACCCTGGAAACTGAGTGAATACGACTGGGAGCCAGCAGTGAACTCCACCACGTCTTTGTCATTGGCCAGGAACTTCTCCTCCAGCTTTGTGCTGTTGATGTCTGCTGCTTTATGTCCGCTAGTCTGCAAAGCAAGAAAGGTGACTGTGTTTTTAACCTGAAAACAAACCTGCATCGGCATAAGAGCAACGAACGATTGGTAAGAGAAATTAATTTATAATATTTAATAAATATCCCAGGATAGCGACTGTCAAATTAGCTTGGCTGAAAACCATTGAGGCCGTTTGAAAGTCTGATGTTCTTTCCAGTAGAGTTACCCTAACAGACTTTAACTTTGACAGTTGAAGAACTCCAAACTTTACTTATTTATTTTTTAAACTCAACAGTCCAGTATGAGCATGCTCAGTTCACATGATCAACTGAGCACAGCTGGTACATGTAGCCGTTTACTTCAGCTGCTAATTTCTCCTCAGAGATACCAGAGCTGTATGCACAGACTGTGGCAGCCTCGATTTACAGCCGTAATAGATGAGATTAAAACTTTAATCATGAGCTGCAAGTCCAGCAGCTTAAACAACAGAATACAGAGAGGATAAAAAAATATGAAAAATATAGTTGTGATTGCAGCAGAAGCAATGCAGTGACCTCCAAAATGGTCAGTGAAATAGAGGTTCAGTGACTATTTGTAGCTCAGATCAGCTCCGCTAGCTTTTCTTGCTGAGGCATGCTGTCAGTGTGGATATCTTCAATAAAACTCTGGAGCAGCTATTTTTTCCATGTTTGTTCACCGTTTTCTACCTCCCAATCTGTTGAGAAGCGTTTCACAATTATACCAGTCCTATGACGTGGCATTACCCAGAGCAAAGACTTTAACCTTTGATTAGAAAATCAGATAGTTTACGCTTTAATAACAGCCTCTGATGTAATAAATCTATTGAGGCAGTATGACTTTAAAGATATTTTAACAGAGAGTGACAACAGAGAACTGACTTCGAAGCTGATATATTGAACGTGTTAGCAAACAGTTACACATTTACATAGTCAAAAACCCCAGTGGATGACACTAAGGTGCTTGTGTGCACCTTTTATGTAAAGGTCCTACATGCTCAGTGCTCCATTATTTTTGCAGTCTAGCACCTAGATATGGTTCTGAGCAGGTATTATAGAATTGGTTTTTAAGAATTTGTTAGCATTGAAAATGCTGTCGAGATGTTTAGCTCTCCTGACGAGAGCTAAAGCTAAAGCCAAAACAAACACAAGCTGAAAAGCACTGAAATGCTTTGTGGAGATCACCTGGAGGGGGAAAACACCCTGTAGGGTCATAGTTCGAGGGACTTTTTTCCACATTACAAATGTTTTTTTTAAATCATGTTTACAACAAAAGTACTGACTCACGTGCTAACAACCTTTTGAAAACACTGTGGATGAACAGTGGATTCTGATGCTACTCACATCTGCGGAATAAATGTTCCACTTCCCAAACTCATCCTGCCAGTACCAAAGCCACTCGGTGGTGTGGATGAAAGTCGGCTCGATCACGGAGTTTTCTGTCGAGAGTCGACGTACTTTGTTCGATCCACAGGTCATCGTGTCAAAGTGCACGGCTGGACTGGTGCTACTGCAGACACCCAAAACAGAAGGCATAATGTTAACATTTTAACACGTGTGTGGAGTTTGAAAGAAGTTGATATTAAGGAAACAGTAATAGAAATAAAGAATTGTGTCCTGTGGCTGTGGAATCATCACCTAAATCGTCTCCTTTCCACAACCAGGTCCTTGTGTTTGTGTTTGTATTGGGTCTCACTTTAGGATGAATTTGTCTCATAATTGGAGATTAAGCATCAGAACTTCAGGAGTGGGACCACACCTCCAAACACACTCCTTCCAGTTCTCATCCATATAGGTTCCCCCAGTCCTACAAGCTGTTCATTCTCGTTTACATGCCCCACCCTCCATCCCCTTTTCAATTCTTTAACTTCTTGACTTGTATTTAGTACGTTTAGTACAGGATGTGCCAGGTCCCGGAGCCGCCGTCAGTCCCTTTCGAGGCCTTCCTCAAACCGCAGCTCAATTCATGTCAAAGCCATTCACCTTTATCTACGAAAATGCTGTCAAATATAAATGAGGACGTGGGCCCAGCTAGTGAATTACCCGTTACCAATGTAGACCTTATTCTACAGGCCCACACACCAACACAAAACCCTATTCTAAAGAGGACACACAAATGATCTTTGTCATAGTATTTATGTATGAACACAAAGCAAAGATGAAAACCAGCACAAAGAGACGTTAAAGCGATCACCACGGTGATTCTACTTTGGAAACATATACAGGCAGAAACTGAGCTGGCAGCCTGACTGCTCCTCAGTAGGGAAGGATACCGGTATCAGGTAACACCGCTTCTGACATAAACTGTAGTAACCAGACCTAAAAGCAGCGCACATTTCGGTGCTTTTTTCCTTAGATGTCACACACTTCAGATTCTAGCCAATCATTTTACGTTTCCGAGGATAGTGGGCGGGGCCAGGTACGTACGTTCTTTTAGAGCAGAGCTACAGATTAAAAATGCCCAAGGGAAGCGGTCAAAAGTCTGGCTGTACTTCACAGCAAAAGATGCAAACTCAGCAGCAACAAGTGCTTTAAGCTGATACTGTGATACTGTCAAAGGAGGTCAACACCTCGAATCCTGATGAAACACCTGGCGACGCATAGCGTTTTTTAAAAGCCGAGAAATGCGCCGTATTTGATAGCTTGCTGCGAGACCTCACACCGAGCACATCTACTGCGGGTGTGGTGCCTGTTATCGGACCCGGAGTTAGCAACATCCCCCAAAAACCCGAAGAGGTAGAGTCCTGGCCCCTAGCCCTGCCAGTGTAGCAGAAATGATGAGGATGATGATGCAGCAGCAGCCGTTCTTCTCTGCGTGAGTAGCTTAATGTTGTTCGTGTGTAATTTACGTTGAGTAGGCTAACCACGTTATTACATTAATGCATGTAAGGTGAACTAGCAAACATCATCATAGCTACATGCGGCTGTCTTCTTGTTTGATGGCAGATACTCCCTTCACCCTGGCCAAAAAGGCTAAAATGACCAAAGAAAAAGTGGAAAACAGTTACACATGAGAGGTTTTTGGACAAAGTTTGTGTTTTTTCCATTGTTTAAGCTTCCAGCCAAGAGTGATACCATATATGCCCCATAGCTGCAGAAAAGACTAACATTGTTATCTTGGTGCTTGCAAAGAGCTGAAGTTGTGTTAGCGGGATAATGCAGTTGTTTCCATCCTGGATGCAGTTTCCACTTTACCATCACACTCTTGTTCTTTTGCGGAACAAAAATAAAAGTAATGTCCGTGCTCATGCTGTGGACCGCTCCACTACTTTCATCCTCAGACACATGAGCTGAAATCAGTTGATTCAAGTGCAGGTGGAACCAATATTAGAATCAATAGGCAAGCAGACTAACAATTCCAAGGAATGCCACTACTGGGAACTGTTCTCGATTCCCATCCCTACACCTAACTGAATGCTCCGAACCAGTAAACTGCCAAAAGTTCTGCTTTTATACAGTCTGTGATGATCACAAAGTCAAGTGTGTTTGATTATCAGATTATCACGTTGTCTTTTGCAGGACTGCAGAGAGTCCTGTGAGAACTTGGTAAGTACCTGTATGAGTTACTGGGGTCACAGTAGTCTCTCTCAATTGTCTCATTATCGGGCAAATCAGTCCACTGGTGTCCATCTTGGACCTGCCATCGGTACGGCATCTTGTCATGAGCTTTAAAACATCGATCTAAGAAGAAAGAAGAAAGACAGCTGATCAAAGTCAAGAAAGAACTACATTAACGCCTCAAACACTTACTAACCATGACTTTCTCACCATCATGTTTGCAGTGACCTTTAATGAAGTACATGCAGATCCCTGTTTTATCTGAAAGAAACAGGAGATATTTCACAGGCTTCATTCAGACAGCAGCTTTAGTTCATCTGAAAACATCAGAAGTGTTTTCAGCCGTTGTTTACCTCTGACAGGCCTCTGTCTATTGTTCTGCCATTCTCCACCTTTAGCAGCTTCATCACTGACAGCAGCGTTAATGTTGCTTGATGAACGAGTTTTTGGTAGTGGTTGCTTATTGGTGCCCCTGTTGCCGCCTCTCCCTCTGACAGCTGCTTGACTTCTTCCATGACGGCGTCTCCGTCTTCGAGTCTCACCGTTTTCACTGCTCGCATCGTTGTCACTGGTGGCTGCGGAGATGTCACTGGTGGAAGAGTTTTCATCGTCGCTTTCATTCAGTCCATTACTGGTGTACAGATCGAAGATGTGAGTGCCAGCAAGCATCTCAGTAAGTGAGGAGGCTCGATTCTGCACTGGTCGGCTGCTCTGGTTTCCTCTGTTTCCCCTATTGCCCCTTCTGCCTGTCGCACCCCTACCACCTCTTCCTCTGCCTCTCCGCTGTTGTTGACCATTCTCAGCCAGCCTCAAAGCCTCTTTATTTGCATACACAGCCTTCAAGGATGGCAGAAGGGCACCAGGTACGCCTCTTTCTTGGACATTTTTTATGGGCTGTGGAGCAGTAAAATTGTGATTCCTCGAGCAGCTGCATTCACGGCTGATGTACTTCTGGCAGATGTGAAGCCTCTTGCAACCATCACCATCCTGACACCTGCCAAACTCTCCATCACCGTTGTTGTAGTCGTAGCATATCTGGTGGAGACAGAACAAAATGAAAGGAAAGCGTGGTTATATACATGGACTGTAAGTAAAAGATGGAATACAATCACTGACTGTATGTAAATGATGGATATAAACATTGCAACATCCTACTTTTTTTAACCAGTTTAAATTTGTTTTACTCTAATTGCCACAATAAATTGTTCAAAATGTTTTCTTAGGTCATTTATTCATAAACGTCTGTACAACAGGATAAAACAGGAAGTCTTTTTGCAAAATGATGAGGTCAGCTTTTTATGGCAGCTTTGTAACATTGTAGTGCATTGTATAGAAAAAAAAATAAAAAAGTGTATTGTACCGCTCTCACCATGCCCTTCCATATGATATATTACTTGATATGGTTTCTTGACTTTTGTTTCCAAGGTGAAATTTGACCTTGGGCACAAACAATAAAGGTCAAGGTCAAATTAGGTACTCATGTCCCCCGAAACCCTAGTATATCTTTGTCAAGTTTAAAGATGATCTCCCCTTTCTTTTCCCCAGTCAAATCTGTCCCGTATTTAGCAAGTGAAAATAAAATAAAATAAACAATAAAAGGTGAATCAAATGGACCATTACGGCAAGGCTGGGATGGTCCATTTGGTAAAGTAAATCTGTTGGGCATCTTTCTTTGCCTTTAGACAACAATTCTGATGGCAAAAGAACCAAACGGGACAGGCCAAAAAAAAAAAGTTCAAAGATAATCCATAAAAAATTGTGGGTAATATAAAGTTTTGACTGATTTTTTAGATGCGACTTTGACCGCGACCCAATTTTCATCTAAATTAAATCAGCTGTTATCATCACACAAAATCTGAAAAAGATATCGTGAAAACTGTGGACAGTACTGCAAACAAACAAACAAACAAAAGGAAATGATTATTTACCAATTACATTACATGTGTTTTAAAACTTTTAATATACTTTTTGACATGTATAAAAAAGCTGATTTGCCACCAACGTGACAGAAAACGTGTTTTAAAATTGGAGAACAATACACATCTGGCAAACAACTTTACCTCTAAGTTTTAAGAACATCTCATTGACTGCCAATTTGTGAAGAATTGCATATTATATTACACTGTGTGGGTGTCAGCTGTACTGTTTGTTATTGCTACAGTATCAACAAGCTGTTACAATTTAAATGAACATATTAGAATCAGATGTGAAAAGATGTTATGACAATGATGATGAGTTCAACCTAAAGTATTTCGTCAGGGTGCTTTTATCGTGTGTTAGGTTAAGACTCACAGCAGGAAGGAGTGTGTGGTCACTCTGCAGCAGCAGGGTGCACAGCTCCTCTCGGCTCAGGCTCTCCAGCTCATGCTCCCTCAGAAGTCTTTGGTTATGCTCAGACGTCAGCTCATGGGAGAAGCTGCAGCCCCTCCTGTTGTAACAGAATCCACACAACTGAGTCATGACTGTGACATGAGAAGGATTAGGGCCACACACAAACATGATAAGTGCTGCCAAACGTGGATTAATTCATCATTACACTTACACATGCTGTGTGTCTGTTTCCAAATTCAGCCCGATACCAATAAAAAATTAATTTTGACTGCGTGTTTGTCAACATATGTGTTCTTATATTTTTCCAAACCCGAGAATTTGTCCCTAAGCTTAGCTGGCTTCAAAACCAGTTAATATGACGACAATAATAAACACTACTAATAATAAAAGCACTACGAATTATTTGACATTTTAGCCTCTTTAATGGTCCGTAACTTGGTTGTACACAAATACGACAATAAAAATAAAGTTTTTATTGAGACTCAGAAGTCGGTACAAGCAAGCACAGAGAGGAACTTTTCCTATTAGCCTTTCGAGTCACATGATGATATTTGTTCAGGTTAGCTTTCCTAACAAATCTGCGTCAAACTGCTTAAAATGTCGAATTTTCCCAACAATACCTGAACGCACCGTCAGTGTCATATTCACTGACTGTAAACAGAGACACTAGTCAGGGCCTTTAACCCTGGAATATTTTGCAGCCACTTTCAGCATTACTAGAAAAGGCCTGGATGAACAGAGACGGTGGCTGTTTCACTCGGGCCATGACTCACCTTTCTTACTTTAAGTCCAGTATATTTACCTGAGCTGAGTGAACTGACAGAATCCGCTGAAGAGGAAGTTTTTGCACAGGTGCAGAGCCCTGCACGTCCCCGGGCAGTCTTTCACTCTGCAAAGTCTCAGGCGGGTCCTGGCCACCACCTTCGGCTGTCCGTTTGGACAACAGGAAACAAATTTCTCTCGGTTACAAATGATCTCCGACAACTTCGTGGGATCTCCGGAAAACAGATTATACACTAAATCCTCCGTGTTGACTGCTCCTTGGCCGGCGCAGATCATTCTCAGTATTTCCGTCTCCATCGTGTCCGAGCTCTGCCTGCGTTTCCTTCCACCTGGGAGACCAAACCGCAGTTTGACGACAGCGGCCGCTGGTTTCATGGGAGGAGGAAATCTTCGGTATCATTTCTGACGATTGGAAAGCGAAACTGAGCTATTTTTATCTTGGACTGATGCTGTAATGCTGCTGATTTCCACTTGGGGGCGTCCATGAAAGAATATAGGGAAGACATTTGTACTCGGCACACAGTGTAACATTAACACAGTAGAGCTGATTAGCAGAAAGCTCAAAGTCTGACTAAAGGAAGTCATAGCTATTACCTCCTGTTTTAGCTTTGCTCTCCTTTAAACCTTTGGGGTGAATTTTCGGGTCTTTAGCAGCTTAACTGTCCATCAGCTGCCAGGCTGTGTGTTTGCAGGTTAAATAGCTCATGCATGTCTGCCTGGGGTGGGGAGGGTGAACCTAAATACTTGTGCTCCACAGCTGTGCACTAACAACAATCACAAGTCCAAAAATATCTTTGCTCTTCTTGTTTGCATAGCTGCTACACAGAACACAGTGAAAAACTGAGGTGATTCGTGGCACACCTGAACGACAGAACAATGTGAATATCAAGAGTATCATACCAACACTAATACTGGTAACGGATTGATACGAGCACAGGAGGATCGATATCTTGTTTTATCTTCTTCAAGTTCAACATGTAACCGACTGAACTGTGTTATTTATTTATTTTTGGAAATGAAAAAATGTGCCTCATACATGCACCGTGTTGACTGTCACATCTATTTTATTTATAGCCCACAGCACATTTAAAAAGCAGAAGTTGACCCAAAATACTTTAGAGACAGGCGCCTTTACAATCCAGCTCGCCAACAAGCTCACTTTTTAAAATGCAAGAACAGCAGTTAGCTGTGTTTTGTTGTGTTAACTCATTATTGTTGGAAAGTAAAAATCACAGCAATTTAGTGATCATTAAAATGTGTCCAGAATTTGCAAACCGATGATTATGATGACGATTCATCTCATAAGATCTAAGTTAGAAGTAAGTATTCCTCATTAACTGAAGGTGTTGGAACGCCTGAGCAGAGGGAAAATATGAATGTTGTTATTGTAAATATTATTGTAATCTTTATTTGTTCTTTTTCAGGGTTTTTGAGGGCAAAAAGAAGGTTTGTAAACCCACAGCTTATTGCTGAAGCTTGTTCGCCTTCGTCTTTTTGCTCTTTAACAAATATAGTAAAGAGGGTTTTTTTGTTTTGCAGTTTTTTATCCTGCGACTGTGACTCCAAAAGGAAGTGCAGATCATCATATGTCCTGATGCAGACTATAATTTAGGCCACGTAAACCACAGTGGGCCATAATCAAGAACCACACACGTGAACAGTCTCGATAACTCTTAAATAATTATTTATTTGAATGATTGCCAACATGCACACACACAAAAATCTGTTTTGATAGAACATTTCAGAAGAATAATAGCTTTAATAGTAGAACAGGTTTACAGTGAGCACATGTAAAGAATCTGGAGGTAAACTTTATGAAGCCTGAAACATCCTGTATGACTTTTTTGGGAGAGGGTGAGCCTTTGGAGGCATATCCTTGGAAGGTAACGCAGACTTCCACGTGTTAGTCAGCAGCTCTCATGACTGCTGTTTAAGGCATCAGGACCTCAAGCTATGCTCATGGAGTCTGTTCCTAACAGTTTCATCGGGAACATGCACATAAATATGCCATTCTGTAAGGCTTTGGCAGTGATCTTTCTATTACTTTCTGCATAAAGGCAAGGCAAGGCAAGTTTATTTGTATAGCACAATTCAACAACAAGGTGATTCAAAGTGCTTTACAGAGACATTAGAAACAAGAACAAATAAAAAGCATGATTTAAAATAAATAAAATAAAGCAGCAGATAGCGATCCTGCTGCTGGGTTGATGCCCTTCTATGGCCCTTTCAGGGTTTCCTCATGCACAGCCTGCCTGGCTGTAAGTACCCTCTCACACAGTGTCAAGAACAATAACAAAAAGCAAAACTAGTAGCATGGGGTATTTGTATTTTGTTATATCTGTTTCTAATCATTATAAATATATAACAGCTAATCCAAGTACTACTGACAAGCGGGCTATGACTGCAAAAGAGCTAAAGAGAAAGGAAACATACACAATGTAACATTTAAACCATCTTCAAACAGAAATTTATTTTTTTTATCAACTGTTTTCTGCATTTACAGTCAGACTATGAACTAGAAAGACTGGCAAATGGAACGAGGTGCACTGTGCACAACAGGGCGAAGTGAACGTTTAACAACCACCACAGCATCACCTTTGTGCTGCACTAGAGCAGCGGTCCCCAACCCCCGGGCCATGGGCCGGTACTGGTACATGAGTCGCTGGGTACGGGGCCGCGAGAGTTGAGGCTCGGTTGTGAAATGTATGTTTTTCATGGTTTTTATCGTTAACTCTGTTTCCCTGGCTCTTTTCCAGTGTTGTCGTTGTGCCTCTTATTTTGAAATAAATATTTACGCGTTACCATAGCGACCAGAGAGCATTAAGGGGCAGAGAGGAGGATGTTAATGTCAAGTGTTGTTGGCGCATTTCGGGAGGATGCTGCTAATAAAGTTACACAATCACACAGTGAATTCAGGTTTATTATTATATTTGTCTTGGTCGTATCATTTTATTCTCTTGTATTTATCCGCGACACCTTAAAAGCCGGTGCTCTGACAAACCATCCTACTTCCTAATTCCAGCACAAATTTAAGTAGGCATGACGGTTTGCCACTTAACTTTGCCCATCGGAGTATTCTTCTCGCTCATATTCACAAAGGTAGGACGGTTCGCCACTTAATTTCGTGTTGTGCGCATGTGTACAAACAACAGGTAGGATGGTTTGTCAGGTAGGATGGATTCCCGGAACACCGGTCCGGGAAAATATTGTCTGACATTAAACCGGTCCGTGGCGCAAAAAAGGTTGGGGACCGCTGGACTAGAAGGTCCATGTTTTTCGCTTTCCTTCTTCTCAAGCTTTTCCGAGCACAGTGAGCATCGCACACTGCTGCTGTTTGTTTCTATACGTGTTCCCAGACGTTGGTCCCTGCTTGCTGCTGACGTTGCAAAGGTCATCTAAAACAGCAAAGCTATCATCAGGCACCAACACGCAGTCCGTCGTGTCTCGGACAAATCCTTACGAGAATCTGAGGCTCTAAACGCCTCCAACGGTATCCCTTTTTATATGTTTTAGGTACGACGCTTTCGCATGATAACCACTAAACGTGGATGACGTATAAAACTTCCCGAGATAATCACGAGGAAAGCACTCAGGCTTTTCTTCTGATATGGTTAGCACGCTGCAGCATATCTATATAACTCACATAAACCTGTCCTATGGGCGGTTTTTGCTAAGCCTGTAGTGCTTTGTCAAATTCTTCATTCTGTATTTATGTTGAGTATAACTAAATTCCTTCGCGTATGTTGAATGTCACAACAACAACAAATGGAGACATCATCGCATTGTCAGGGTGATAAATATGAAAACTTAAAGACATGGCTTAAAATAGATGTTAATAACTGCAATGTTATTAAAAAACTTTTCTTTAGATTGGCCCACCATTAAGGAGATACATAAAATAGCATTTTGTATGCTAAGATCATTAGCGATACAAAATGTCATTATTACATTTTGTATAAAAGTTAGTGTAATTTCTATAAAAAAACACCTCAGCAAATGGGATTGTGCCAGCCTGGTTTTATGTGCATCTTTTGCACATAAAAGATGCAAAAGATGCACATATGTCTTCATGTGCAACATGAAGACAGACTGACTGGAAATGTTTGTGATTTGTGGAAATTTGTCTTCTTTTAAAAATCACTTTGCATTTGGTCGAGTTGAAAAAGTTTGAGCATCGAAACAAACAAAAGAAACTTGCTTATTCAGAATTTTCATCATTTGAATTAAACCTAAAATAGCAACTGACTGGGAAGCTAGTTTTACCGAGTATTTCCCAGGACAATTCACACATTTTTACCAACATTGCTAAATGCTTAATGGTAAACATGTGGTTCTCATATCTCTTTTCTACTCTGAGTACTCAAAGTTACATTTGTCTCACTATCAGCACATGAAAGAAACTGTGCTGAGTTGGTAAGCTAATAAGGTAGCTGGTTTCTTTCACCAGTACACTGTCTAATTGTACTGTATCAGGTACTCGGGGTAGATCTGGTGCTTCTCAAACACCACAAATATGGCGGGGTCCATTACATCGTCTACACAGCTGTCATAGAGGTTTATGCCCCCTCCGTCTTTTGAAGGAGGTTGGCAATAATCGGAGGACCCTTTGGTGTAGTCTCCCACCAGCACCCGTGAGATGAACATGGCTCGGACGTCAGCGTCACCGGTGAAGTCGTGGGAGTATTTGGCATCGCGGGCAAAGTAACTGCCTGTGTTTAGACACCAAAAGGTACAATTGTGAAAAAATGTATTTGTGGGGAAGGAAACTGGTAAACATGCAGAGGTGATTACACAGTGAAAAATCAACATTTTCCATAAGAATAACTTCACAGGACTCACGGTGTCACAAAGATGAGCATGGCTGGAGTCTTTGCTTTTTAAATCTATGCTGAACATGTGCTGAATAACCAATAACTATTTCAGCACGAACATTTCTTCCACTCACCTTTGCCATAAGCCATTCCATGAGTTCTGCAGTCGAAGTTGTTGTGGCAGATGGTGTTTACAGATTTGGAGTCGATGCCATGAAAAAGCCTTAGTTCAGGCACATCTCTCCCTCGGTTTTTGGTCCTCATCTGATTCTTCTGCCTTGAAAAAGGAGACAGGAAACAAATTAAAGCAAGCTGTAAGAGTGTGAATCATGGTCTTTTCTTTTCTCCATTAATAGTTTAAAGTCTACTTTAATACAACATGAGTTTCGTAAATGATGCTGTTACTTTATCAGACAGGGGTGGCTACTTGCACAGATACAATAACCTGGTTAGAATCTATCGTAGACACAAGCTGTCAGCCAAATTGAACAAGCAGCTGATGCATGGATATTAATCGGATGTCGGTACGTACAACTGAAAGGCCGCCCAAAGACTTTGGTTCTGAATTCTCTCAATGTTGATGATATCAAAGCCTCTCATGGTTTTACAGAAAAGAGCTTCAACCTCCTTAAATTCTCTTGAGCTGCTCTGGAGCGAGATTTGCTGTAAGAAAACAGAGAAACATAGAAAATGTTCAGTCACAATAACATTGAACAAAAACAAGCTGTAATCACAATTTTAAAACACCATCATCAAACACAGAAACAGAAAAAATTATTAACTTTTTTTTTTTACTTTGGCTTCTAAACAACACTTTTTTTCAACACTTGCTGAAGGAAATATTTGTTTTTTTGCTGAATACTTTATTATGTTCCATTTAGCTAACATAGCATCTTTGCTGGCTGAAGAAAGACATAATCAGGCTGTGCTGATGTAAAAAAACAAAACAATGAAATGAAAAAAGAAACAGCAGATATCTAGCAATACTGAAATCATTGACTGTCTTTTTTTTGAAAATTAAAAATAGAAAGTCTTATATCAGAATAAACTGAGGCATCGAGTTTTCAGCAGCCGTACTAAAGAAAGTTGACTCCTAAAATCTGCAAACATGTGAAAAACGACCTCAGCTATCTGGTACTAATCATCCCATTTTGTTAAAAATTACACTGCAAACAATAAGAAATAATAGATTACAATTACTCAATGATGTTTACATTTAGAAATGACTTAAACTTGACTGTGAGCTAAACCACAGAGGAAAATTATATTTTTTACATTTGTTGGTTTTCACAGTACCGAATATCCTGTTTCAGGGATCTGTGTCTTGTCCCAGTTGTCCGGTACTGGGCCAACATTTTGAACCACAGGCCTTCTGCAAACAGAAATGATAAGGAATGCTTTCATTATTGTTCGTTTTAAAACCCCAAAACACATTTATAGTTATATCAGTACTGAAATTAATTAAAATTAAAATCGTCATTTTCCCCATTAAAAGCCGTAATAACAATAGTACGATTTTTTACTGGATTTTTAAAAAGATTATTATGATTATTATTATGATTATTATTATTATTATTGCAAATTCATCAGAAAAACTACCAACAAAAACTTAACAATTCAGATTTATGTCTGAGGCTGCAATTTTTGGATTGCAATGATTTGTTTCACATTAGAGCACAGAGAACATGTGGAATGTTCAAACTGGAAAAACTGCACCATCATAACAAAAACGTTCATGTGTAGCATGCCCTCTCTTTTCTAACAACAGTCCACAAATGTCTGGGAACTGAGACCAGTTGGGAGAGAGAGATGCTCAACAGTCCTATTTTTAATGCAGTGCCACTTGAGTGCTCAAAGATCTCATCAACTAGTGATTTTTGGCCCGAGATTGTTCCAAATAAAGTCTTTGTAGATCTCCAAGGTAATACTGTGGTAAGTTCTAGATACAGGAAAAGGAAAGTATATAAAACCATATCTAGAGCTTTGATTGTCTCAATGAGAAGAGTAAACTGAAGAAGAACATGAATTCTCCTCCCCAATTAGAATGAACTTCTCAGATGTAAGAACACAGCAGAGAATAAGCTGATAATTCTGACATCAGGCTAATTTTTAAAAACAGGGGTCTGAAAAGCTTCTGCTGCGGCTGCTTTTGGGATGACGTACCTGACTTTCTTTGTTCGGACGTCTACAGCAGAGACAAACCGTGGCCGTCTGCACACAAGCGTCTTCGTGCCATTAAGGTTGTTTGTCTGCATCATGTCTGACGGGTAAGAAAAAAACATAAATAAAAGTTTAAACTTGTGCAATGATTATGACACCACTTTTAAAACACAGAAATCAGAGATCAGATACAGTTTCCATATTCTTTGTTTACCCTCGAAACTGAGTGAATACGAGTGTGAACCAGCAGTAAACTCCACAACGTCTTTATTATTGCCCAGGAACAACTTCTCCAGCTTTGTGCTGTTGATGTCTGCTGCTTCATGTCCACCAATCTGCAAAGTAAGAAAGGTGAGCAGGTCTTTAAAGTTTCTTGACAAAATTAATGTAGCTCTGTTCTCCAAATGTGGTCGTGTTCAGTTTTAAAAAGTAAAACAAAAACACAACAACGGTGAAAATGAGGCTTTGAAATGCAATCGACAAACTAATGGGTGACGCAAAGACGACTGTCTTCACTGTTTATCAAAGAGTGCAAACAACCTTTTTAGTAAACAGTCAGTTACACATTTTATATGTTTGTACAGCGGTCTGTTAGAGTTATGTCCTAATATTGTCTTTTCCTTAACAGCATAAAAATTTAAAATACGATAACAATAATGTCGTTACTCACAGCAGATGCAAACATGTTCCACCTCCCAAACTCATCCTGCCAGTACCAAAGCCACTCGGTGGTGTGGATGAAGGTCGGCTCAGTCACAGAGTTTTCTGTCGAGAGCCGACGTACCTGCTTCAGTCCGCAGGTCATCGTGTCAAAGTGCACGGCTGGGCTGGTGCTACTGCAGACACACAATTAAAACAAAATGAATCCACTGCTAGCTGTGTACTGCGTGTGTGTCGTTTGAAAACACAGCATTAAGACATTTCTTGTAGTCGGTCATCAGGTTTGCACACATCAGCGAGGGATCTTAGACCACTCCTTTTTACAGAAACTCTTTAAACCCTTCAGGTTCTTGGGTTCCACTGAACAACTCAAAGCTTCAGCTCCCTCCACAGATTTTCTATAGGACAGGTCTGGAGACTGTCTGGGCCACTCCATGACCTTTGCTCTTCTTTAGCCACTTCTTTGTTGACTTGGTATGTTTTGGGTCACTGCCATGCTGGAAAATCTGTCCACTCAGTGGTCACGCTGCGGGAGGGAAGTTCTCTTCAAGATTGTACGGTGCATGGCCCTGTCCATTTAGGATGGGAATTGATAAGAATTTAGCGATTCCGATTAAATGATTGATATCAATTATCAATTCTTCATGGCTTTCACTGGCTCTGCTTTGAGTCGCCACCATCTCTAAGCAGCATAGCAAAGACATTACATTCATGGAAGTTAATTACATGCTGTGTGGTCAAATGTTTGTGCATGTTGGAGGGATTTCCCATCCTTCTTGTGTTTTGTGGTCATTACTGAAAAATGTAAAAATGTATTACACAAATTACACAAAACCCTTTTTTTAAATAATGCAGTACATACTGTAACTACTTGTTACATTACTCTTTACATTACCTAAAATACTAAAACACACTGTCATAATAACCAGTTAATAGTATAATAGTACAAACCTTAGGCTACAGTCCAGCACACCAACACAAATCATGACGACACGAGGACACACATATGATCCTAGTCATAGTATTTAGGTGTCAACAAAAAGCTGCCAACACAGAGCAAAGATGAAAACCAGCACAAAGAGCGATCGCCATGGTGATTCTACTTTAGAAACATGAACAGGTAGAAAGAGAGTCTGCAGCCTGACTGCTCATCAGTTTGTTACTTGTTGAAGTTCAGGCTCTGGCTGATGGGCTGCGGCTTTAACATTACTTTGGGTTCTTGGCTAGCTTAGTATTAGCATGCTCTCTGTGCAAAGAGCCAAAGTTGTGTTACCACCATAGTGCAGCTGTTTCTGTCCTAGATGCAGTTTCCACTTTACCATCACACTCTTGTCTGTTTTTTTTGTGCAATAAGAATAAAAGGACAGTCCATATCCAGGCTATAGACTGTGCCACTATTTTCCTCCTCCAACAAACTGAAATCAGCTGATTTGGACAACAGGGAACTGGTTCTCTACAAGAACTGGATCCTGATTCTCAAACCTACTGTCCATTAGAACCTCATTCTGGGGAACTCATTCTGAACGCTTAGCAGAAAACAGCGCTTGACTGTGGTAAAAGTGTTCTTTAGCTCATATTCAGCATTTCTCTTCTGCCAAACATGGTGGCCAAAGAGATCGCCTGACTGACCACAACACTTTCTCCCAAGCCTTCTCTCAATCATGAAGATGTTCACTTGAGCAGGTGGACCTTAAGGTTGCAGCAAGATTTCTATCTATTCTGCTTTAAACGCAGTTGAGATCAGGAGTAATGGTAATTTGTTGGAAATTCATGTCAACTCAATGAGCTTAACACTGAACATAAAAACATAAAAACCTGGTCACCAAAACGCAACCACCACACTCCACACAGCTTCCCGTGACACTGGGGGAGACAGAGTTCTGTCTGCATGTCAGAGATCAAATCCGTAGTTCACTCAGCGACATGCAGGTCAAAGAACTTTTCTGTGATATGTTGATATTCTATCTGCTTCCATTAAAATAAGTAACTAACATAAAACTACCATAAAATTCTGTTCATTTCACTTTAAGTGAGCAAACTTACAAATTCAGCAAAGAATCAAATATTTTATTTTAATATTTATCCAAAGCATTGCGCCTGAAACCGCCGTATTGTAGCGTCCCTCCAACAGGAGACAGAGACGGTCGGGATTCCGTGTACCAGCTGTTCATTAGGAACAGTAACACAGTCGGCTGTGGGCTGTAGACAACACCAAAACAAAGAGAGCGCTCCCTGAAGAATAAAAACAATCCCTCTGTCTCCTCTTGAACACACACACACACACACACACACGCTCCATAACTCCCACCCCCATACATACACTCTCAGCCACCTTCAAGGACACTCAGTAAATCACATCATTGCACGTGTGGAGCAAGTCCGTCATAGCTGTGTGACAAATCTGAACACAATAACGCTGACGACACAACGATCAGATTAACTTGCAATCCAGTTTGTTACATACTAACATCACAGAGAGCCAGCGCTTCCTAAAACCAAAGCTTTCTGAAGCATTTTACCTTCAAAAAATCTGGAAACGCCCCCAAACCTTTTATCTAAAATTGAGATGTCTGAGTTGCAGAATAAATGTAAGTACCTGTATGAGTTACTGGGGTCACAGTAGTCTCTCTCAATTGTCTCATTATCGGGCAAATCAGTCCACTGGTGTCCCTCTTGGACCTGCCATCGGTACGGCATCTTGTCATGAGCTTTAAAACATCGATCTAAGAAGAAAGAAGAAAGACAGCTGATCAAAGTCAAGAAAGAACTACATTAAAACCTAAAACACTTACTAACCATGACTTTCTCACCATCATGTTTGCAGTGACCTTTAATGAAGTACATGCAGATCCCTGTTTTATCTGAAAGAAACAGGAGATATTTCACAGGCTTCATTCAGACAGCAGTTTTAGTTCATCTCCCCACAGAAGTGTTTCCAGCCGTTGTTTACCTCTGACAGGGCTCTGTCTATTGTTCTGCCATCCTCCGCCTCTAGCAGCTACATCACTGACAGCAGCACGAACGTCACTTAAGGAACGAGTATTTTGAAAAAGCCGATGGTTGCCCCTGTTGCCGCCTCTCCCTCTAAAAGGCACAGCAGCTTTTTTTGGACGCCATGTCCGGTTTTGGCTTACATCATTTTCGCTGCTCGCATCGTTGTCGCTAGTGGCGGCAGAGATGTCACTAGTGGGAGAGTTTTCATCGTCGCTTTCATTCAGTCCATCGCTGGAGTACAGGTCAAAGGCGTCAATGTTTGCAGCAATGTCACTAAGTGAACAGGCCTGATCCTGCACCGGGCGGCTGCTGTGGCTTCCTCTGTTCCCCCTAAAGCCACTGTTGCCCCAAGTATCTCTCCAACCTCTGCTGAGCTGATGGCCACCTCTCCCTCTGCCTCTCTGACTTTGTTGACCATGGTCACTGACTCGAGCCACCTTCAAAGCTTGTTTATTTGCATAAGTAGCCTTCAAGGATTGAAAGAGTGTGTCAGGTACGCCTCTAGCTTGCAAAGCTCTGAATGGCTGTGGAGCATTAAAATCGTGGTTCTTCCAGCAGCTGCATTCACGGCTGATGTAGGTCTCACAGATGTGGAGCCTCTTGCAACCATCACCATCCTGACACCTGCCAAACAGTCCAACACCGTTGTTGTAGTCGTGGCATATCTGGAGATATGGAGAGAGGAAAAGAAGAAAAGGGAAGGTTATAATCACAGACTGTAAATCAAACCTGGATTATAATCATATATTGTACATAAACGATAGATAGAACTGTCTGACATTCCTGTTTGATTTGTTGTTGTTTGTTTTGTTTTGACTTTAAAAAGGCACTGTACATGTAAGCTGTATAAATAAGTAAGACAGGAAAGACTGAGAGCATAAGCTTGATTTGAATCAGTTTAGGTCATTTTGTCATAAACTTCTAAAAAACAGGTAAATTCAAGGAGAGATGCAACCATTTGAATCTCCCCCTGCTGGGCATTAAACAAAATGCAGGCATTTAAAGAACTTTCATTTAACACAGTGGTTCCCAAACTTTTTTTTTGCTAGCCCCTCCCCTTCGTCTTACAAGAAAACGAAATTCGTCACGCAAAGTCAAAAGTATGTGCCTTTTGTCACGTCACGCCGTGCGCCACGTTAATGGCTGTATCCCAATTCAGGGTCTGCAGCCTTAAAGTACGACGCAGCCTCAACGATCCTCAAGGGCCGCGTACTCAAAGACCGCTAAGGCCGGAAGTGCGAGGCTTATGAAATGGGACGGTCTAGCCTCC